CTGCAGCCCAAGTAGCCGCCCCCTAGATCCGCCACTGGTGTGCACCCACAGTGTGTTGCACTGTGTTCATGTTCGCGCTCCAACTTGTGGTGGTGTTTACTTTTTTCGGAAGCGATGTTTCTATGTTGGGCTGTGGGTAGCACTGCTGCCTTGCAGCAAGAAGGCTCTGGGTTCAATTCCTGGCCCAGGGTCTTACTGCATGGAGTTTGCATGTTCTCCCTGAGCATGCATGGGTTCTCTCTGGGTACTCCGGCTTCCTCCCACAGTCCACAAACATGATTGTTTGGTTAATTAGCTTCTCTAAATTGTCCTTAGGTGTGAGTGTGTGTATGAATTGTTGTTTGTCCTGTTTGTCTCTGTGTTGCCCTGCGATGGACTGGTGACCTGTCCAGGGTGGAGCCCGTCTCTTGCCCATTGACGGCTGGAGATAGGCACCAGCACCCCTCGTGATGGATGTTTCTATGCTGACTTGTATGATTTTCCAGGAGCTTTTCGGAATAGTGGGAAACAGAACAAGACAAGACATCCAGTTAATCACGATTTCAGGTATTTCATTCCTAGGAACGTGATGCTGAAAATTAGTCCACTGTGAAGCTATGCAAAGGGCTGTGGAAGCCATGTATTTTGATGCACGGACCTCGCAGACACATCAAGCCCAAATCAAGCTTGATAGCTTGATCGTAGGGGACAAACATGGTTTGCTGGAGCTATCTCCTTATTTTTTGTTTTTAAAACCCAAATTTTTTCACTATTTGGAATAATTATGTTAATATATTTTAACATCTTTATACTGAAAGGATGTAAGGTAGCTGTAGTAGTTTTTCTTTTTGCTAGGACAGGTTTGGGGAAGAGCCACTGCTCCTCCACATCTCGTCCACGTCCAAGATGCCTCCTAGGAGGTGCTCTAAAAGGAGGCCCAGAGGAAGAGCCAGGAGGGACACCATGGAGGGGCTATGTCACTCTGCTGGCCTGAGAGTGCCTCATGCTTCCCCCACCTGAGCCGAAGCAGGCGTTTGGATGAAAGGAAATCTGAGGGGCTCTGCTGACGCTGGATGGAGGCGTAGACAAGAAATACAAGATGTTTTCATCTCTCAACGATGTGAAACCTTAACTTTTCCATAAAATAATACATTAAAACAATAAAATATGGCCTTTTACTCACTATCTGATATCAATTTTGCATTAAATATTGATTTGCATACTCTATGCACAATGTTCGCAACAGGTACTAAAGCTGTGCTAACACAGTGAGGTTAATTCTTGGGCACCATGACAGCAGCAGCTCAGGGGAGGCACCCCATCTACACTAATACACCTCATTATTACACAATACAATTTGTAGAAGGAATCGGGCATTTTTTATGGTCCTTACTATTAGACCATGTGAGGTTTCCTCGGGATTAGCTGCATCACATCTCAGTGTTTTTTTTAATCTGTTCTACAAGAGTGACAGCAGTAAAGGGTAAAAAAGCGGTCAAAGTGATTCAAGCTTTCGCCATCCGAACTCTACTGTGTGTGAACATCTGGAACAAACACAGCTGGTAGAGAAGAGGTTAAAGAGTAAAGAACAATGACGTCAATCTGCACACCTGACGGGACCCACTGTAACTAGAACATCAAATTCTGTGTATTTTTGGTGAAGTGGACAAACTTTGTGATTGTATAACAGCCGTTGTAGAAGTTTAACACAATGAAAAAGGTCTGTTTACAGGATTATATCATTTATTCTGTTTTCTTTATCATTTACATTTCAGTTTAAACTATTTGATGTTTTCTTTTATAATGAAGCATTTACCTTCAACTCCATCGACTTCTTAAACCCAATGATTTCCTTAGATAGAAAACTTTGAATCAATTTGACTGTATGATCTGGTGAACTGTAAAGTGCCTTGAGATGACATGTGTTGTGAAATGGCGCTATAGAAATAAACATTGAATTGAATTGATTAGTGCAAAGTCAGTTAATAATTACAACTGAACATTTAACCCTTAGTTTCCCTCATCCAAATTGCAAAGCAAAAAAAAACTTTTCTTTTTTAAACTTTGTTTCGTCCACCAGGTCCGTAGTCTGAGTCAGAGTTCCTACCTGATTTGGTGATGAATACGGACAGGTTCATCATAGTAGGGGATGTTAACAACCATGCTGACAAGCAAGGTGATAGCTTAAATGCAGCCTGTAATGCTATCTTAGACTCGATTGGCTTTGTTCAAAATGTGAGTAGTCCCACACATTCTCATCTTCATAATTTGGACCTTGTTCTGAAATACGGCATTGAATATGAAGAGATAAAAGTATTGCCTCACAACCCTGTCCTCTCTGACCACTTTTTCAATAAGCTTTCGGATTACTTTAACAGAGTTCTCCTTCCCCAAAAGAAGGTTTCACTTTAGCAGATCATTATCAGATAATGCAGTAATACATTTGAAAGAATCTGTTTCACTTTCTTCCTCCTCCCCTCCTCTGTGTGGCTGAGGAGTGCTGCAGAGGGTAAACATTTAGTTTATTCCCTTTCACAGGTTGATGATTTTGTTGATGAGGTTGTTAGTTCTCTGCAGGCTGCCATAGACAGTGTAGCCCTTTTGAAAAAGAAAAACTATAACAGTGGAAAGCTGTTTCCCAGGTTTAAAGAAGAGCTGTGCACTTTGAGGCTAAATGCTAGGAAACTGGACAGAAAATTGCGCTCTACATGCCTACAAGAAACCTAACTAGTCTGGAAAAACAGTTTACTGCTGTATGAAATTAATCTTTTAAAGCATTAACAACATATTTCTCCTCATTGATAAGAATAACCCAGGATTTCTTTTTAATACAGTTGCCAAGCTCACCCAGAGCCATAGCTCTGTTGAACCATCCACCCCACCTGCTCTTAGCAGTAATCATTATGGGATTCTTTCTAAATAAGAGTGATGCTTTTAAAATTTAGATAATTGGTAACCCTCTAAATGGGATTGGTTTATGTCTGAAAGGTACGGCAGCATCAGAGGTAACAACAGCCTCAACAATGTTTAGATTGTTTTCATTAAATTGAAATTTCAGAATTAGCAAAACTATTATCTTCATCCAAGCCTTCAACTTGTATGTTAGATCCAGTTCCAGCCAAGTTGTTTAAGGACATATACTCTCTGATTTCTTCCTCCATTTTAGATGTGATTAACCTGTCACTGTTATAGGGATATGTTCCCCAGGCTTTTGACCATCTCTTGAACCAATTGGCCATTAGCCAATTATAGACCTATATCCAATCTTCCTTTCTTAACCAAAGTTCTTGTGAAAATAGTTGTCAAACAAGTGTGTGACCACCTACACCATTCATTTTAATAATAAATCTTACCCATGCTCCAGGGTTACATGCGGAGTACCAAAGGGATCAGTCCCAGGGCCATTTCTCTTTACTCTATATATTCTCCCAATGGTTAGAATTACTAGACAGTATGGGGTTATTTTCCATTGTTATACTGATCATATTCAGCTATATCTGTCTATTAATCCAGATTAAACTAATCGATTAGATAGACTACAGGTATATCTGAAGACTTAAAGGAATAGTACACCCAAAACATGATTAGCCTTCATTTTCTACTCACCCCCATGCTGAACAACACTCTGGAGTACTTTTTTGATATCTCAAATGCATCTGGAGATCTGGGAGGCTTCTTGCTGTCTGCTGACATTCAAATAATGGAGGTCTATGGCGCCCGAGACAGAAAGGTCCATAAAACTCCACAAAAAACGTGTCAATATTCCTCAATACTGCTCGTCCAATGTAATCCAAGTGTCCTGAGTGGGTAGCATCCAGAATTTACTCAAAACGAAGTCATTTAGAATGTTTTTAGAGCATAAACAGTAGTGTATAGGATTTCCTGAAAGCGCGTTCACGACGCTACGGAAGCCGGCAGACCAAACCAGATGAAAGTGCGCATTCAGCATCTGCTCTGCCGATAATGCAAGCGTAGAAGAAGAAATGTGCTGTTTACCTGTGCAAAGAAAGAAACAACGAAAGAAAAATGTCTGAGGACTTCAGTGTTGAGGAAGAGCATGAGTTCTTTGCCGAGCTGAATGCGCAATTTCATCTGGTTTGGTCTGCCACGGTTTCCGTAGCATCGTGAACGCGCTTTCAGGAAATCCTATACACTACTGTTTATGCTCTAAAAACATTCTAAATGACTTTGTTTCGAGTAAATTCTGGACGCTACCCACTCAGGACACTTGGAATACATTGGACGAGCAGTATGGAGGAATATTGACACGTTTTTGTGGACTTTTATGGACCTTTCTGTCTCGGGCGCCATAGACCTCCATTATTTGAATGTCAGCAGACAGCAAGAAGCCTCCCAGATCTCCAGATGCATTTGAGATATCAAAAAAGTACTCCAGAGTGTTGTTCAGCATGGGGGTGAGTAGAAAATGAAGGCTAATCATGTTTTGGGTGTACTATTCCTTTAAAAACATGGGCGACTCTTAACATTTTGCTTTTGAATGCAGACAAAACAGAAGTTATAGTCTTGGATCAAATTGATCTCGGGTAGGAAAGTAAAAAATCTTGACTGTCATTTAAATCTCATATCCAAGAGGTTCCTAATCGGCAGCTTTACTAGTGGTTCCTAGAATCTCTAAAAGTAGAATGGGATTAGTTATCAGGCTCCTCTCCTGTGGAACCAACTACCACTTTTAATCCATAAGGCAGACACCTCCTTGAACCCCAGTCAGCCTCGGCAGATGGCTGCTCACACACAGCCTGGTTCTGATTCTGATGGAGGTTTATTCCTGTTCAAGAGGTAATATCCTCTGCATTGAGGGATTGCTGAAGATTCAATAAGTCAATGAAAATAGTTGGTATTCCTTAGATATAAAACTTAAGGAGGTTTCCTAAAGGAGGAAGGGAGTCTATCGAAAGGGTGTGAATACTTTTACAAGCTGCAGCAATTTTCTTTTTTTCTAAAGGAACATGTAACTGCATAACGTTTATCATTTTTAATTAAATGAATAATGAGGCTTTAAACAACGTTTGATGATTTTTATTAAATGCAGTGAATCTGTTGTTTTTCTTTAGATGCAAACATTATTGAATAAAGTTGCGCAACCCAGAATTCTGAAAACACCTGTTACAGGATCTGGAAAAAAAAAGAAAAACTTCATTAAGATCCATTCTCTTGACTCCTTCACTATCACTGATGAGAGTCTGCATGTTTGTCTCTTACTGAGTTAATCCAGTTGATGTAGGCAGACACACGGGTGAAAACGGTGGGCTTCTGAGGATAGTTGCAACCGTAGCCAGACACAAAGCTAGCAATGCCATGCACATAGTACTTGCCACTAACCTGGCAGTTAAGTGGACCTCCAGAATCACCCTGATAAAACACAAACAGGACGATTGAAATAAAAATGGTCAGAACCACCAAAATGAGACAGAAGTTGATGGAGCAACACTTAAATAAGCTGACTGTCCTTTGTAGATAAACTCACATTACATCCAGACTCATTACCGCCACCACCGCACACCATAGTGGTCTTCACAGTACTACCCCACCAGCCACTGCTGGAGCAGGTCTTGTGGTCCACCAGAGGAAGGTAGGCTTGCTTTAGCTGAGTAGACAGGCTACCACCAGCTATTAAAAGTGACAGAATAGGATTTAGAAAAGGGAGGAGACTTAATAAATACTACTGACAGGAAATCAGTGGTTCAAATCAATAGAACTGACTGGAGGTGCGTCCCCATCCAGTGATGTAGCAAGGGTTGTTGTGTGGCAGAATCTGCTCGGAAGGAGGCAGAGAGGCAAGCTGGACGTAAGAGTTCAGAACTGCATTGGATGAAAGCTTTAGGAGGGCGATGTCATACCTGAAATACAGAGAACTCTTTACAGAAACATGTTTGGTTGAAGTTTTAGATAAAATGGTAGCATTCATCTTGAAGTGAGATTGGTAACGATGCAGTTTTCTTGTATTATAAATGAATTTCTAGCCATTAAAATAGGTTTTCCTCACCCATTGGACACACTGTTTGAGTTCCAGTTGGAGTGGATGTAGATCTGGCTGACGCTGATGACCTGCTCTCTTCCACTGTTGGAGTTCAGATCGTGTTCACCAAGAACAACACGGTATGTCCTTGAACTGCAAAGTCATAAAGAACACAAATATAAAGTATCTGGTATATCTAATCAATTCAATTAAGTTTATTTCTATAGCACCAATTCACAACACATGTCATCTCAGGCACTTTACAGTTCAACCAGATCATCCAGTCAAACTGATTCAACGTTTTCTATCTAAGATAAACCAGCTGATTGCATCGACTCATTGACTCTTCAGCAATCCCTCACACTAAGCATGCTTGTAGTGACAGTGGAGAGGAAAAACTCTCTTTTAACAGGAAGAAACCTCCAGCAGAACCAGGCTCAGTGTGAGCGGCCATCTGCTGAGGCCGACTGGGGTTCAAGGAGACAGAAGCAGACATAGAAAGAGAAGCATAGATACAAAAGGCAACTGTCAACCAGCTCCACAGGTGGCCCCGTCCAGGAAACACACAGCCAGGCAGACCAGCTCCCATCAGAGGATGAAGAGAGCACATGCAGCCAGTCACAGTCAGAGAAACAGGACTACACTGGAAAACAGGCCAAGCTCCAACATCTATAAACAAAGGTGTTGATGGCAGCAGGACAGCTGATAGTTCTGTCCAGGATGGTGTCACAGCCAAACATGTATGATATTTTTTTTTTGCTTATAAAGACCATAGTTTATGACATGACTTGTTTTATTAGTTAAAATAACAAAGCATTACTTATGACCCCAGCTTTAGCCTGATTTATGAGATCCAGCCAATGATCCTTCAGCTCCATGTTCATCTCCTGCTGTGTATCGATGCTCGCTCTGTGCTGCTCTCCTCAGAAACTCTCCTCTGTGACCTCAGAGGGCCGATCCATCTCTGAATGGGTCATGTGACCCAGAGCGCCGCTTTCCATCAGTCTGAGCTCCCCTTAAACACCAGAGCTAACTAAGGCCCCGTCCACACGAAGTCAAACCCTGGCCTAAACGCACAAATTTTTAACGAAACCAGCCTCTCATCCACACGAAGTCGGCGTTTCGGGGGTCTGTAAACGATCTTTTTTTTCAGCCTTCAGAGTGGGAAGATTTCGAAACGCTGTTTTCGCGTTTCCATCTTTAAGCTCTAACCGCATTTTTTTTTTTTACACGCATGCGTCATAGCGTCGCCTCTAAACACGCATGCGCGACACAGTATCACAACAACAATGGCGCCGTTGCTGCTAATGCTACTCACCCTGCTGTCGGGCTTACAACAGAATCTTCTTCTTCTGGAATATCTCCAGGAAGAACAGAGCAATATCGACGACATAGTTCAGCACCTGAATTTGACTGAACCACGAAAATGGACCCGCAGGGCAACCATGTATAAATATTAGTGCGCATGCCCAACATTTCGTCGCCTATTTTTGCTTTGGCACCACAGCGCCACTTACAGGCCTGGCATACATTTTGCAGCGTTTTCATGCATTCGCGTGGACGCTCACATTTATTTTACATCTCCGTCTTTACGACAAACGTTTTGGAAAATATCAGCGTTTCGTGTTCGTTTTGACTTCGTGTGGACGGGGCCTAACTTAACAGCTCACTGATTCTTGAAACTTTGGCAAAAACATGTCCCACTAAGAAAAGTGCTAATTCTGTTGGAAAGAAATAACATTTTCATGAATAAAAACAATCAAGGTAATAATCAGGGGGTCCTTTGCACAAATGCAAGGTTCTTTTAAAGTTTTTTTTATTTTATTGTTAATTTAATGATTATATGCTGGCCCATTGCCTATAAAATCAGTTGTCCTTGGATAGGAGATAATCATTTCAACTTGATTAAAAAAACAATAAGTAATAATTGAATTGAATAATATCTTTACCAAATGAAAGGGTACATTTTAATATGTATTTAAAACTACAAACAGTGAGTTTTGAACAATAATAACCATTATTTTGTGATTGCTCAAAATGTGTCCCACATATTTGTCACCACCGTCAGATATTTATAAAAAGCAATAAAATCAGGCAACTACAAGGTCAACTACATGCCTGAGGACCCCATTTTCAAATCTTCAGCTCTACTGGATGCCTTAAGGTCACTCAAGCTCCTGTAGGTTTGCTATTTTCTCTTAAACTTGTTCATATTTTTGGACACTGCTAATGTCACAACCATAACATGTCAACACCGTCTCTTTTGTATAAAAAATATTAGATTAGATTATGACATAAATGTTTACTTTTTAAGAAGAGGTCTAAAGTAGCTAGCAACAGAGGGGAAACAACATGGCTAATGTGAACAACTCATGCATATCATGTGAAAGAGTAGGATTTTGTCACCACCGTCAGATTTTCTGTCTGACAGTGGTGACGCACAGTCTGACGGTGGTGACAAAAAACTACAAATGGTTCTCAATGGAGGCTAGAAAATAATTGTTGATCTGTAATGTTTCATTAACCTCTTTTATATTTTTATTTATGTAATTCCGCCTAGATTTCTTACATATTGTATAACCCTAGGGGATGGGGTGTGCCTTCCCTGTCTCTCAATTCACTATTATGCCATGTTCATTTGGTTTACATCATTTGGGATGCACATAGTGCACCTACTACCTACCTACATAGCACATAGTATACAATATTCCTTGTAAGCTATGGCAGGGCAACATTTAACCAAATCTAACATTTACTGTAATTCCCCCCAATTTCATAGTCATTACACTCAACTTTGACTTTATGTATTTTAGGAAGTTATGGCTAGGAAGCAGCTATCTGTGAAGGAAAGAAGGAAAAGAAACAGGGAATATCAAAAGAAGTGTGAAGGCCTACTGACAAAAAACCTACATATATTCAAGCAATTACTCAGAAGGTTCAAAATTTCTACCATAATGCAGCACGAATGACAACTGACAAACAGGACACAATCACACGCAAGAAAATAAAGCATCAGAGAATGATTCTGACTGATAATGATATTTCTTAATTGTACCTTATATTCCTTGAAAAATATTTGTCACAGTGCTCATGATTGTTATTTTTTGGACCAAATAGTTAAATAAAGTTAATAAGCAAGAAACCATTGACTTGAATTGTATACAGTTTGGAATTGTATGTTGAAATGAGGCCACTGTCACCACCGTCAGTTCTAAAGTCACCACCGTCAGAGGGCTTTTTATTCGTTTTAAATGAATATGCTTGCAATATGTTTCTTCAGTGCTGTTCTCTCATTAAAGTAATGGTCTCTTTTAATACAAAAATATGTTTGTTAAATAAAAAAACATGACTTTTTCTATTTAGGCTTAAAGTAAACGTTATCTGATGTTAGATATTTTAAAGGACTACACGTGAAACAGTTAAAAAAAATTAACAAAAATGAAAATTCAACATTTAACAGCATAAATGTGTGCTAACAATGCCAGATAAAGATTTGACAAAAACAAAGTAATAACTGGAAAAATGCCTATTTTATGAAAGAAATACAAAATGAGGAGGTTGCACCTGTACACTGCTGAACAGCCAAGACCTTGGTCTATAACAATATACCTTCAGATTTTGTAATCCAACTAACTTTTTATTTTCAAAATTAAAACCTGTTTTATCCAAATTCCCAAGAATAAGTGAGCTGTTAGCTCTGACCCTCACTAATCAATGTTCTGGTTCTGATGGAGGATTTCATCAAGAGGGTGAATGTTTCCTCATCTTTATCACAAACTCCAGGATTCTAGACCTGCTGGTCCAAACTGGTCTGATACCAGAAGCAGAACACAGACGGCTTCGTTTAGAGACAGAGTATTTGCCTTCAGGGGGCAAAAAACCTGGAAGTTACAGGTCAAATTCCCCTAGTAGCTAAAAGTTAAAGAGCGTTTCCTTAAAACATTTTATCTGTTGTTTAAACAGGTGAAGTCTTTCTGTAATTCATTCATGCAGTTTTGAGAAGTTTCATCAGGCTGGAGATGAGTTCAGACATTGAAATATTCAACCTCCTTTTTGATCCTAAAGATGGCTTGAGCGTGATGAGTCGTTACGGTACCTGTCCACGCAGTGAGCAGCAGTCATCACCCAACCTGTACGAATCAGGCTACCTCCACAGGTGTGGTACCAGTAGCTGCCAGACATGTACTGAAGGGAGATCTAAGAAGAAAAGAAGAGGTGAGTCTCAGTATATAAAACAATGTACGTATTATCATGTTTATTATTATATGCAAAAGCTATTACACACTCAATTTAAAAGGTTCACCAGTGACAATCATCACTAGACTGCTCGTCCCAACCTGAGGGAAAGGTTGTCCCAATGTAATCGTCATGTAGTCTGGCTCCCTCTTGGGGCCGCCTACTGATCCTTTGCTTCAGGTGTTTCTCATCAACACTCATTAACAGAGAGGCCTAACAGCACTGCTAGGACTCACTCAGACAGCCTTTGGTCTCCTGCATTTCTCTGAGACTCCACTAATTATTTCTGTGTCTCCTATTAGTGATGGCAATTCCGAAGCTCCATGAAAAACTGAACCTATTTGTCCAAAACTGGAAACCATGCTTGATACATTTTCTACAGTTTAGAATGGCGGCCTCTGCTGGATAGCTATCTGAACTACAATTGAGCGGGTATCATAATGTCCATGTTATTTCATGACTGAACTGATTTGTTCCATGATAATAATGTTGATACTAATGATTGTATAAATAAATAATAAAAAAGCTAATGTCTGACCTGTGAAACTGAAAAGAACAGCCTTTGTGATGCATAAAATCTATCTGATTGTGTGGTCTTGTCACTATGGTTCCCACTTTATACATAAATATATATATATATATATATATATATATATATATATATATATATATATATATATATATATATATATATATATATATATATATATATATACTCGTTTAAAACACCCCGATTAACAACTGATAAAAACGAGTTTGTGGTGATTGTGCCCTTAGAAATCCTCCGTTGGAGATCACCAGCTCGTTTTTAATTGGAGGCTGGTATAAAGTCCTCCACTGGGGTTCTTTTATCTGGAGTTTTTCGGACCAGATGCTGACCGAGCGCTTTTGAAGGTGTCTTTGGTTAACTGCTTTTCTGCAGCTGTGGTAAAGGGCTTTCTGGTCCATATTCAATAAGACCAATTCTCTGTGGGTTCAGGATGGAGAGCAGAGGCATATGGCAAACTTCCCCCTGGACACTTCACTGGAAAAATCCCCTTCTCTACCTCCAGAGGAAGATACATTTCAGTAAATCTATCCTTGTAAGGTCCCCAAACCCGGAAAAATATTCAGGTGAAACTAGCTATTGTGGTTGTTTCCTTCTTTGATGCTCATTGGTCTTTAATGGGCTCCATGCACGACTCCACTACTTCCCGAACTTAAGACAGCTCTTCTGTTTCCTGTCTTTCATCACCAGTTTAACAGATTCATCCAGGTGTGGAGAAAGTTTAAATGGTTTTTGCTACCACTAGTATCTCATGGTTTATGGGCACTTATCCAGTTATGGGCACTTACCGTCTTTTAAGCTCTGGATAAATATTTAAAAGACGGAATTGCTCCTCTAGGAGAATCAAAGACTCTAAACATGATTAAATCCTTAGCCATTCTGTTAGATAATAGAATAAGAGAAAGAAGAATAATCTGATTCATGAGAGCTCCCTGAGAGTTCCCTAGCATCACCTGCTAGTTCCTTCCAAAAAAGTTAAACAAACAATCCACTGGACTTTGTTTTCCAAGTTTGAAGACGTTTTGTTTCCCATCCAGGGATCTTTTTTAATTAGTCAGAATTACTGTTTAGTTCCAGGCTCATAGAGTAGCTCAACAAAGCCTTGATTTAGCTCAGAAAACATGGAAATGGGACCAGAAGATCAGGTCCGCCCCTTAGTAATGGGGAGTCGTTGAGGTCTTTGTTAGCCTGCAATACCGCATTGCAGATGCTACAGGCTAACAAATACCTGAACAATTGAAAGACATGTAAAAAGTCCATTACAACAATCTATCCCAGGAGAAATAAAAGCATATCAAATTATTTTAATTCATGCAGCGAAATGGTAACTTTGAGATTCACAATTGTTCTTAAATGATAAAAAATAATTTGAGCTAAAAAAATTTTAACCTAACTAGAGGATCCCAAGAAACTGATGTGCAGTTGGATTTCATAGATTTTAATAAGCAGGTTTACTAAATATGTTTCAGTTTTATTAATATTTAAATATGAACCATCAACATTTAAACCAGTGTTTTCTTTGGTTAAACAATCAATTAAACTTGAGAATCTAAAAAACGCAGGCAGATATGATGCTAATTATCATCAGCATATAGATGGAGATATTTCCAATCATCCAATTTGCATTGAATAGTTGTGTCAGCTGCTTATTTATTACCTGCCAGGGCCAGGAGTTGGGACTGGCAACCTCTCCTCCCACGACTCTCTCAACGGTGTCCTCCAGGTACCGGGTCTCGTGCTCCAGCTCAGCCACCGCTAAGCAAGAAACGACCAATGCAACTGCTTTAAATATGACACATGTTCCTAGAAACTGGTCTATATTGGCGTTTTTTCCAAAGAGGGAATAGTGTGGCTAGCAGTCAAAGGAGACTGGCAGTTACTATCATTTTAAATAAATGAAGCAAATGACTAACATTTACATTATCAGTGTGTGCTCCATGATCTTACCCAGGGCAGCGAGACATGTCAACACCAGAATCCTGAGCATGTTTGCGTCACTTCAGAATGTTTCCGCAAAGACTGAAATTGCCTAACGACTTTTATATCCACATTAGACCTTGAAACTGTGTGGAAAGTAATGTCCAAGAATGCACCTGTGATTTCTCTCACGAATACTCTTTCTGATTAGGTCAGCAATGGAAAATACCTCACAAAAGGTTTTTTTTACAACGTAAAGGTTAAGGATACTTAGAAATCTTGAAACATAGATTTTTCATGACCTTTAAAGTAAACTATGTGCTGTTTGAGTCTATCTGTTGCATGTTTGCTTTTTTCCAAATGTCACGAAAAGGTTGGGGAAAAAGCAGCTGTTGCTGTTTATTCAGTGACTTTCATCCTGTTAATGTTAATTTTGGCAATTAGAAAAAAAAAAGTTTAACATTTAGAGCTCCAGAGCTAAAGACTGAATTATCTTTTTGTGATTAATAATATTAATAGTTATTTTTTTTTTTATTTAGGGTTAATAATTCATTTACGGGTGTGCTATGAAGTTTAGTTCCATTTCAAATCAGTTCAGTTTATTTTATAGCACATCAGGTCTCTTTATAGATCCAGTTCAATCAGATCATCCAGACAGATTAAAGGTTCAAATTTGATATCCAAGGAACACCAGTTGATTGCATCCAGACATTGGGTCTCATGCAAGAAGCATTCTTACAAAGAAGTTATTTCTTCAACCTGCTGGTGAAGAATCTCAGTCATCCAGATCATAGTCATTCAAAAAAAGTTCAAAAACAATCCACTGGACTTTTCCTAGTCTGAAGACATTTCACTTCCCATCCAGGAAGATTTTTCAATTCAAAATGTCAGAAATAGCGTTCAACTGCAGGCTTATAAGAGTGAACCAAAAACAAAGCCTTGTTTTGGCTTAGAAAATTGAACAGGAAATTATTTTGATTGAACCGGAAAGACCATTTGGTGAACGATGGTTGCCTGAAATCCTTTGAGCAGCTGAGAGAACAATTTCAGCTTCAATCCTCAGATTTCTTCTGAAATCTACAGCTTAGTCTCATGTTCGTTTTAAGGTTTCTAACCCACATGCAGAACACACGGTGTCAGGGAAAAAGTTCAACAGTTTATTTTGAAACACAATGATGATAAAGTACTGATGCGGGGGGTATCAGGTCCAGGACTGTTCACGACTGGTTCCTCTGCAGAGGGGGACAGAAAGGTTAGCAGATATCCATTTAAGTTTGCTGGTTGAATGAGTGCAGGTCTGTACCTGTTCAGAGGTTTGAGCAAGGCGGCAGAGGAGGGGAACCAGGAGGGTCCAGAGGCTAAAGGCAGGCAGAGGGCTATGCAGAGGCAGAGCTTGGTTTCTGATCTTGCAGATTCGGATCTGAGCTTCTCTTTCAGTTTCTTCTGAGAGCTGGCAGGCAGGTATCTGACAGATTGACTTTCCAGGGTTCTTCAGAGATCAGACAGACTGGATTCAGAGAAACTTTTCCAGAGTTTCTGGGTTCAGACAGGTTCTTCCTAGGAAGCAGAGAGGACAAAAACAGGTTAGGTTCAGGTTCAGGTTTCAGGGGAGTCAGAGAATCAGACAGGCAGGTTGGCTCAGGCTTGCTAACCATAACTGGCAAACACTCTGGCACTGGAGTGCTGCTCTGCCTCTCCTTAAATGCTTGTCTCCGGATGAGCAAACGAGCCGCAGGTGTGGTAGTCAGCTTCAGCTCCAGGAGACCTAGAACGCCCTCTGCTGGAGAAAGGTGGACAGACCTCCAGATCCCAACACTTAGGAAGAAGGAAAGTTTTTGATTAAAAAAAATAAATAAAATTTCTACAGGATAATAGACTCTTAAAAACTAAAGCCTTTTTTATATGGCATTTTCTAATGCATACATCTAATACCCTAAATGTTAAAGGAAAAATCCAGTCATGTTCAGAATTCCAACTTCTGAAAGCACTTTAAATATTTAATTATTGCATACTGTACAATTAATGATAACTGTTTTTAATTCAGAGTAGTTTTCATTTGAATGTGCTTTAATGGAGGCATCCATGTTTGTCAAAGAACACTACTGCCACCTACTGGTTTGTGACGTCACGGTGCGGTATCGGCTGTTTTTTCTTTGTTTTTTTTACCCGAGGTATGCCAACATCCAGCTGCCATGCATGGGGGCATTGTCAGTTTCACTATAGCTCTGGTGAATTTCAACGGTGAAGACATCTGAAGATCATAAATAAATGTTGATTGTTCGGGTTATGGAGAAAGGTTAAATAGAAAATAATACTATTTAGATTTGCAGGATTATTTTTAATCCTGCAATTCCAACATCTGCTGGCAAAACTGTGAGAGTTTACTAGAGACTCACTGCCACATGTTATGGACGTGTCTGAAGCATAATCTTTGTTGGACTGACATTTTTACTGCGCTCTTTAAGCAGCTTCTTGCTATTGTTATGTTTCTGGCCTGTCAACTAGTATTTTCATTCCCCTCCCCCTTCTGCTCTGTGCTGCCTCTGCTCAGCCTAATTGCCACTGATTCCTCTCACCTGTTTGCCAGCCTTCTTAAGCAGGCCTCTCTCTAGTTGACAGTGCCAGATTGCCTGAAAGCCTTGGCTAGTAAGCATCCAGCATTTTTCTGTCTGTCTACCTGATCCTGACCTTTTTCTGCCTCCTGATTTTTTGAGCCTGCCTACCCCTTGTTGGATCTGTTTTTTTGTGCCGCCTGGATCCCTGACCTGTTTCTGCAAATTATCAGCAACCAAATCTTGCTATATGGTTGTCACAAAGAAGAGAAATATTAATATAGAAACAATAACATTATATGGACAGACTTTAGAAAGAGTAACAGAATATAAATATCTAGGTTTATGGTTGGACAGTTCTTACTCATGGAAAACACATATAGATAACTTAGAAACCAAATGTAAAAAAGTTATTAATATATTAAAGGCTGTGGCTGGAAACAATTGGGGGGCAGATAGACAGTCATTATTAAGCATATACAGGGCTCTAATGAGAGCAATAATAGATTATGGCAGCATTATATATGGAGCAGCAGCTAAAACATCATTACAAAAAATAGAAAGATTACAGTGTAGGGCTTTACGTATATGTACAGGAGCAATAAAAACAACACCTATTAATGCTCTATTAATTGAAAGTGGGGAAACTCCACTTGAAATGAGGAGAATTAAATTAGCTTTAGCATATTGGATGAAAATTAAAAGTAATATAGATAATTATGTGAATTCAACTATTCTGCAAAATTGTTGGGAATATGTGAAGTTCCAAAGTAATGGATTTGGATGGATGGTTAGGAAATGGATTAAAAAGTATAGACTAGAAGACAAGGAAATAGCTCAATTTAACCCAATTAGCGTTATTCCTCCATGGCTAATACCTGAGGTTAATGTAGATTTGCAAATCAATACAATGAAAAATGATTGGAATATAAATGAAATAGGGATAAAAACTGATATTTATTTAAGAACTACATATAATAATTACCTTAAAATTTATACAGATGGTTCTAAAAATCTAAAAGGTTATGTGGGTATAGGAATATATATCCCAGAGTTTAAAAAATGTATTCACAAAAGAATATCAGATCAATTGTCTGTATTTACAGCAGAAATGGTGGCAGTTATATTAGGCTTGCAATGGGTGGAGGAGATTCGACCAATCAGGGTGGTGGTGTGCACAGACTCTAAAGCAGTAGTGGAAAGTATTAAGGGAGAAGGAAATAATAGAAAAGATTTGGTATTAGAAATTCATCATATTTTATTTAGACTATATAGGGGTGGCATTGATGTTTGGTTTTGTTGGGTGCCGGCACATGAAGGAGTAAAAGGCAATGAAAAGGCAGATAAATTAGCTAAAAGGGCTTTAGAGGGGGAAATAACGATTTCAATTCCTTTTGGAAAAGGGGAAGGGAAATCACTTATTAAAAGTAAAGAAATGGAGGAATGGCAAAAAATATGGAACGAAGATAGGAAAGGAAGAAGATTATATGAAGTGCAAAAGTCAGTTCGAATTCGAAACATTAATGAAAGAAACAGAAGAGAAGAAATAATAGTTAGTAGATTAAGAATAGGTCATACCTACTTAAATGACATGCTTTACTTAATAGGGAGGAAAAATAGTGAGAAATGTGAGAAATGTGGTGAAAAAGAAAATGTAGAACACATACTGATGAACTGTAAGTTATATGAACACGAAAGGGAAAAATTAAAGAGAATAGTTAGAAGTATAGGGCATGAATGGAATCTTAAATGAATATTAGGAAATGAAGGAAACATAACAGATATTCATAAACTAAGGAAAGCATTGTTTTTGTATCTTAAGAATACAAAATAAAAAAATAGAATCTAATAGATGTGAAGTAACGCTGCTACACACTCATGTACAGTAGGTGGCGGTATGCACCTTAAAGTTGCTTGTGATCCGCCATAATAGAAGAGAAGAAGAAGAAGAAGAAGACCTGTTTCTGTGCCCTGACCTTGTCCCTGGATTCTGTTTTGGATTCTCTGAAAATCTGATCACCTGACTCTGATCCTGGACCTCCTTTGACCAAGATACTCTGCCAAGCCTCAGTGAGAATTCTGTCAAGCAACCAAAGTTCTCTGGAACCAAGACACCCCACCTGGATATTAAGAAAGGTTAGTGGCTTATCAGTCTGAACCTAAAATCATCAATTTCAGCCACTAACCTGTTCTCTCCCCTCCAGAGGCTTTGGCTCCTCTGATCCTGAAAAACCTGCATTATTCCCTCAATAAATCTTTTAAAGTTATTTCCTGTTGTGTTCTGGTTGTTTCTGGGTCCTCAGTCTGAATCTTAACAGTGCAATCTGGCCAACAATGGACCCAACACCAGCACAACAGTGGCGAGCCGGTGTTGATAACTCTATCGCTCGGCTTGATGCAGGTATGACTGAAATCATTTCCATGCTGCGCAACTTGTCTGTTCCCAGCCATACCCAGACTTCTCCACAGCCTGTTGGTCCTCCTGCAGTTCCAGAAGCCACCACAAGAGAGCCAAATCTGTGTCCTCCTGAGGTTTTCAAGGGTGATGCTGATCAGTGCAGAGCTTTTCTTACTCAATGTGAAATTCACTTTGAACTGCAACCCTCATCATTTCCCACAGATCGGTCTAAGGTGGC